TCCCAAAGAACTCCACGTGTCAACAGGAAAAAACGACATTTTACTATTTTTATTCGTGCGTAAAGTTGAGTTGCATTGTCACCAAACCATAACAAAAACGGTGTGACTAGAATTTTTACCGATTTCGCACAAACAAGGATGATTTGTTGGTTTTGGACAATAGCCGGGCCCTCCTATATAAAATGATGTACGGGCTTACCATCCGTAGTTACTTCTGAGAGCAACAACAAGCTTCAACATGGTCAGAATAGCGCTTGTAATGTTGGTAGTGTTCGTGATCTCCTGTTTGGCCGCTCCAGGTAATTCTTGGGCTTATATAACAGTATTTATTATTCGCCAGTAATTTATGTTTATGAGTACTATATAAATATATAGAATCAGACAATCATTAAGTTTTCACAGACAATAGTTTCCATAACTTCAGGGTGTAACAAGAGGTAGTTTTGAAATAGGTACCTACACTAAGTTTTGTCTAAATGTGTTTTTTTAAGGTTGAGCTGTTGGATTACCTGATGGTAAGCAATCGATATCGCCCATGAATATCCGCAACAGCGGTGAAATTACGAGTGTGTTGCCTACCTTTTGGGGATTAGGGTTTTTGAGGAAGCTATTTCTAACCGGTTTTCAGTGAGGCCGTGGTATCACTCCGGTCGAGCCGACCCATTCGTGCCGAAGCATGGCTCTCTCACACTTGTAAAATAGATAAACAAATTCGTTTCATTGTTACTTAGGAGAACGAGTGAGAAGACATGGTTATGACTTCACCCACGGAGGATACGGCGGCGGCTATGGTGGGGGTTACGGCCACAACGGCCACGGAGGTCACGGCTTTGGAGGCCACATTCCTATCACACAGTCCTTCTCCAAGTCGTCCGCCAGTGCCAGTTCAAGTTCCGGAGGCGGGACGATTGTGGGCTGATGTGTTTGGACTAAGTCCATAACACATTCCATGTAAGTCGTTTTTAACAGATCGATCAGGACAATGTCTTACTGTGAGGCCTTTATTCTGCATTGGACACTTTGTGGCTTATATGATTTCTTATAATGATAATGTTGTTAATGAAGATGAACATACTCTCTCTATCTCTCTTGTAAACAAATTATACTTGCAAGTAAAATTGTAATTTTGAATTGAATACACACTTAATTATATTATATTATGTAGGTAGGTAGACTAGCAATTGAGATAGTACCTCTGTCTTAATCCTTAGGCCGCATTTCATCGTTTGCGGTCCATCGTTGCTTATAATTATGTTTATATTTCCGACAAACGCACTCGCCGCATCTCTCTAAACAAAGCCTTAGTCTGATAGGAGGCAAATCGAAGCAGACACAGAATATTTATACTAGCTTTCTGTCCAAGACTTTCGCCTACAACCTGTACATAAACACCACAATCGCCTTCTTCGTGAACAATTCGATCGAATGCGAAATGTGAAGAGATTTTGTGTTTGATCATGAGTTCCTTGATAAATAGTTATCTCCAGAGTTAATTTTTTATTGGAGTTTCTTACGTATATACTAATTCTCTCTGAGGCTTTTTCTTGCGTGAACTTAGACTATGTTCTTGTTATCATATTGGTTGATTAGACAGAAAAGACTCCGTACTCACAAAGTACCAAGTATAATGTATTATGTAGGTATGTACCTACATCAATAATAAGAGAGAGAGAGAGAGAGAGAGAGGGAGAAAAAAAATAACAAAAGCTAACTACAAATGCGTCAAACTTTAGTTAATATTAGTCTGATGATGTTGAATAAACAAACTTACATATACAAATATTTGTTTGGGTGATCTTTAATTCTTTGTATGATATTTACCTACTTACTACGTTTTTCTTTTTCGACCACAATTTTTTTGTCATATTATTTAAAAACCACATAATGTTTGTAAAGAAACGATATTCTGAAGAAAGTCTGTAGTTTTTATAAATGTTTTAACATGTACATAATTAGGTAATGATCAGTGTACTCAACATTTATCTGTGATATATAATAAAAATGAATCGCACTAAGCGATCAGCAACGCCCGTATGTACCATATACTTTTCCCATATATTTTTTTGTAAAGTTAGAAGAAGGTTCTTTCGCAAGAAAATATTACAAAAGTAGAGTGGTTTTGTAGATAGTGACTCTTTTGTCATTAGAGGTGTCTTTAGACAACCGTGCAAAGCAGGAACGGGTCGCTAGTATTTTATAATATACTAGCTACTCGCGCGCGGTTTCAACCGCTGCTCGGCTCTATTTAATCGTAGCGTGATGTTTTATAGCCTATAGCACTCAGAGGAACATTGTAGCTATCTATCAGTGAAAGAATTTTGGAAAACCGACCAGCGGTTTGAAAGATTACGCCCTACATACAAACTTACAAATTTTACCTCTTTATAATATTAGTATAGATTTATTTGTAATATTTTGATCGTATTTTGTTTGATGAATGTTTTTCTTTGTTTCAGATAACATATTCGTGCAACTCCGCAATCTCCTAACGGATAATTAGGTCTAAAACTAAATTATGTAGTTTTAAGATTCCTTAGATATTAATTTTATATTACTTAATACCTATGTTTGTGATAATATTTGCATACTTACACCTAAAATAGACGACGAGGCTAACAATTTCTATAATGAATCATCTAGAATGAAATAAATTGATTGATTTTTTTGCAAATTATAGATTTTTTTTTATATATTCATAAACGTTGGCCTAAACTAGCATATTCTCCTGCGTCGTGGGTGCGTTTACAAATATACAATTTCATATACACATCGCATCCAGACCCGAAACAACAATTTGTGGATCACACGAAGAGTTGGTCCGTCCGGGAATCATTTCCACGACACGTTGCGCGGCAGCCAGTTGAGTTCCTCAGCCACTGTGTCAAGCGTGCTGTCAAATCTTTATTGCTCGTTTTTTGTTCAAGTTACTTTCCCCAACTGTGGTGGGGCAAGAGGGAGTATCAGACTCTTACTGACTGAAAACTAACCCCGTTCCTCCTCCTGCTTCAGGCCAGTATGGGTCGGCAAAAGAGCTAACCTGATGGTAAGCAATCAGCGCCGCCCATGGACACCCGCAACCGCCTTTTAGGGATAAGGTTTTCAGATATTTAAGGATTGGGAAGGGATAGGTAACCTCACTCACACGGCGCAACACAATACTGTGGTTGTTTCACGCCGGTTTACTGTGAGACCGTGGTACCACTCCAGTCGAGTCGACCACTTCGTGGCAATGCTTGGCTCTCCCACACTGATTACCTACTGCTACGATGTCCATGTTTAAACAATTTGTTTTGTAAAGTATAAAAACAATGTCTAAGTGGTTGTATAATAGTGCTTGAGTACTTTATACACGGATCTTCATTTTTATTATGTCTATACTAGTTGTATGAGTACCTAATATTTACATATGGAGATAAGTACTTTTTTTGAGTAAGTATTGCTGGGTAGGTATATTATATACCAATACATATACCGAACAATATTTTACAGATTTATTTAATAGGATAATGAACCTTATAGCTTCTAAATGTTTTTTTTTATTAAAATGAAGATTTGGATTTTATAAAAAGTAAATTTTGAAATTGCAAAAGCTGATGATCGAATTTGTGAAAGCTTTTTTTTTTAGAAGTAAAGAACAAAATTGATTCATTTAAAATCGGCACGATTGTCCAGAAATGAATTACCATAAGCACATAGTATAAAAGAAAGTCGCCTTTTTCTGCGCCTTTTTCTCAGGAAATGAAGGTTTATATGTATGTACCTACATAACGCCTCCATTTTTATATTAGTTTGGATTAGGTACTTACAAAATTCCTTATTGTTTTACTTATGTTTAACACTTTATAAAAATAGGAATTAATATCATGGAAAATAGCCACAGATTTACCAAAACAGGTAAAGGTTGAAACTGAAAAAATGAGGCGATAATTAGTTTATCATAGGTACTCAGCTACTTTTTTATGTGATACATAGTTTGGCAAATGAAGCCAACGAATTACCTGATGGTAAGCAATCAGCGCCGCCCATGGACACCAGCAACATCGCAAAAGTAACGAGAGCGTTGCCGACCTATTGGGTATTAGATTTGGAGATTGGGGGAGGGAGAAGATTGGGTCTCCGGTATCCTCACTCACACAGGGAAACACAACGCTGTGGTTGTTTCACGTCGGTTATCTGTGAGGCGGTGGTATCAATCCGGTCGAGCCGACCCTTTCGTCCCAAGCCAAGCATGGCTCTCATGGCTATATATGAGAATGATAAGTTATAAACTAAAATCAGATAAAAGCTTTTAAATAATCTTAAAAACTTTGAAATCGTACCTACTCGTAATATCCAGTACAATTCTCCCGTATTTATCGTAGAAGCCGACCGAAGGACTATCAATTTAACAGAGACAGCAGCGTTCTCTGACAAACGGAAAGTCATTTTTACTGCTATTTTACATCTGCTTAATACACGGTTGTGTCACGGAAGATGGCAACCCCGTCTTCAGTAAAAGTGGCCTACAGTCACTGGCTGTCAATGACACACAACTCTGGTTTAGGAAAGATTCCGTATTCTCAGTGGCTTTTTTACTTGTAAGTGAATCTCTTCTATTATTTCTTAAGGTTCAATACTTATTCTAACATTCCTGGCGCCATTTCTGAAATAGTAGTTTCAGAATTATACTAATCTCTTTTTTGCTTAGCCGTAGCATACAATTGCGAAGCTTAAAAAAAAACTTTTGCTTTCCATATTTAGGTAAACATAAAAATCTGCTTAAATAAATACATCTCATTTATTTGTATTGTTACAAACTTTAATAAATTGTCTGATTGCTCAATGTCAACCATTTTATAATCTAGATTTAAACCTAAAATAGTAGATAAAAGTCTTTGTCAGAACCAAACCAATTTCCTCACAATTTAGATTAAAAAGATAATAAAAAGTAATACAGGATAAAAACTCTTTGTTTATGCCTCGACCTTTCATTTTCTACATTCTAAATTCAAAGCATTCTAATTTCAAAGGTTTGTCTTGTGGTTCTCGTTGAAGGAGGTAGCAGTGGCGGACGCGGAGGCGGACGCTTTGGAGAAGGAGCGATGACGTCGATTGTCTTTCGTGCGTCCATCTTTGTTGTAAGACAGTTCGTGGCTACCAGATCCATAGCTGGAAAACGGAATATTTTATTTAAAGCACAATTAATAGTATAATTTGTCAAATGATACCACTTTTGTAAGATACATTTTGATGATATAAAAAGATTCTGCAAGAATATTTCGTCTATTACAGTCTACACACTCTACTTATACCACGAAACATACCAGGTATTACGAGTAATTAGTAAAATCAACCCTGTCTGTAGAAATCTATTTTTTTATTTACCTAATTTAAGTACAAAACTGGTTCTTTGCCTCCTGCTGTTTGCCGCTTTTTGCTTTTAATTTGGGCCAAACACTGAAAGATCCTTGCAGTTGGAACAAATCGATGCATTAATTGTTATTTAACTAGATGTGTCAAATGTTAACTATTGACGGTTGATTATTGAGTGTAAACCAATTAATTGGCAATTTTTGCTACGATGTACTTTTTCTTTTTGTTTATCTTTTATTCCATAGAAGTACGTATGCAATTAATTAGAACAATACAATTTAGTAATCGGCAGGCAATATATTATTTATTACTTTTTTATTTATTTTTTACAGACAAAAATGAGAAAGATTTATTTTTAGGTTGTATATGTATTTAGGTTTTGCCTGCGATTTTTTCGCGTGGAATAGTGACTTCATGCGGATTTTTGGTATAAAAACTATCCTATGTCCTTTCTCGAGTTCCAAACTATGTCTGTACCAAATTTCACACAAATAGGTTCAGAAGTTTAGACGTAAAGAAAAGACAGACAGACAGACAGACAGAGTTACTTTCGCATTTACAATATTAGTTTGGATGTCCATTTATTCGTGAAAAGAAAACCAACATGTTTTTTTTATGTAGGTGTGAGTTCATGTAATATTTGTTTTTTAGCGTTTTAATAATGGTTTCCAAGTAAATATTTACTAAATACCAATAGTGAATATTCGATTCGATTCCGGAATCCGACACTGGCTATGTAATTTTCAGCAGTAACGTGGAGTCGTCTTCTATAACACGAGACTAGTAACATAAACGGTGAACAAATTAACAGGCAAAAGCCAATTCAAAAATCACCAATCAACCTTGAGCAACACTGGTGATTAATTCTCAAACGTTTTCTGTATGAGAAGAGACTGTAATGATATGATAGAGAATGATATGCAGATGGTAAAAAATGAAATCCAACGAGCAGATTGATCATCTGATGGCATGTGTTCCGCGCCACCCACACCAGAGGTCTTTAAAGAAAGTTTTTGAAGATCGTATGTACCGCAATATGAGTTTGGATACCAGTTGGGAGTGTTCCACTAACCTGCCGCCTCCAAGCTCCTCACTGCACCCAAGCCGCTCCCTGCTGTAGCTGTCGTTCTGATCATCATTGCTTCCATAAGAACCTCCATTGTGGTTGCCGTATCCACTAGGATTGTAGCCTCTCTTCACTCGTTTGGTGTCGAATCTCCAGTCTATGGAATGTTAGGATTTATTTAATTTGAACCTTCTTGATTCTTCAAGTGAATACAATGAAGAGCGGTTGATTTTAGGATCCTTCATTTTATTTAGACACCACTGATATACGGCGAAGGAAAACATCGTGAGGAAACCTGGACTAATAATTTCTTATTGGTTTGAAATCGCCGATCCCGCCTTGAGCAAGCGTAATGATTAATGCTTGAACCTTTTCCATGTGAGAAGAGGTCTTTGGTCAGCAGTGGGCATTTATGAGAGAAAGAGAGAGATTATTATATCAACTATAGAAATGATAAAACAATTTTTGTACCAAAATATTCCATCCAGATGTATCCTAACTCACACACATTCCATCATCAGGCTATAAGTGCCCACTGCTAAGCAAAGTCCGAACATCCGTCACAGATGCACTGCCAAATATTTCGTGTCACATACCTCTGCCTTCAACAATAACAGCTAGGAGCACCATAAAGACGAACACAGTAGCTACCTTCGCCATTTTCGAACGAGTATGATGCATTGGTCATCCACACATGGTATATATGTCTCATGGGTACAGGATATCATGGCATCGGATGTCACGGTCTGTTCAAACGTCATGATTTCGGTGACACGCCGTGATGAACGCACAAAGGCACTGCGACGGTTTTAATTCAGTTTTGACGGATTGTCCGTCGCCCTTGACTTTGGGGACAGGAGCCCATTACTCACAGTTTGAATGTTGAATGACCTTTCAAATGTCACAGGAATATTTTTTGAGTTTTATGCGAAAAAATGTGATGAGAAAATTGATATAATTTGGCTGCCAACCTTATGTGTAGGTAATGGATTTTGTGTAATTAAGTTAATTATTTTACTTGACGTTGTTGTGAACTTGGGAAATTAATTCATACCTACTATTGTTTGGGATGTGTAGCTTGTTACCTCCCCGACTGCGCACAGGTTTAATTCTAATGGTAGATAAATATTCTCTACTATTTAATGTTATCTCTCTTCCATCACTCTTTCTTTTAGAAAAAAACGCATCAAAATCCGTTACGTAATTTTATAGATTTTAAGCATACATAGGGATTAGGGATAGAGAAAGCGACTTCGTTTTATACTATTTAGTGAAGAAATGATCTACCAAACATAAAATTTGGTTGTTTTGTTACGATTTTAACATTTAAATAATTACAAATTTCGCGATAGGACGGCAAACGAGCAGTCGGATTACATGATGGAAGCAATCGGCGCTGCCCATGGATACCCGTAACACCCAAGAAGTTACGAGAGCGTTGCCAGGCTTTTAATTTTCGGCCGTTTGGGAAATTTAAGGATTGGGAAGGATGGGGGAGGTTAAGGGTTTGGGCCTCCGTTAACTTCACTCACCCGACTTAACGCAATGGTGTGGTTATTTAACGCCGGTTTTCTGTGAGGCCGTGGTATCAGCCTGACCAATTCATCCCGAAGCATGGCTGTCCCATAATTAGTATTGTTTGGAGAAGTAAATATGTAATAATATGTATGTCCTTTGTCTGTAAGTAGCAGTTACCAGGCGTACATAAGCTTGAGTAGTACTATAAACAGTACAATAACATAAGTCATAAACAGGATAAGACTTTAACGATTCATCGTAATCAAACATATTCTTCCTTGAGTTACGACTGACTAGTTACATCAATAATATTATTACTTAACACACTCGCAGCCGGTTTGAACTCAATGTTATTAACGCTAACCTTGACTGTTCGGTCGTTCGCTTGATTTTTTCTCGGACAGTTTTTTTTTGTAAACAATCATCACTTGAAATCATAAAAAGAGTTTTGTTTGTACCTTTCGGAATCAACTGAGCGTGAATGTAGTCGTTACTAGTTATTTACCTGGCTTTGATCGGATTAATTATTTACAGCTTTTCACTTCTGGCATTAATAACCCATCTCAATCCAAATTCATTGGATTAAGATTGGTTTTTGTCATTAGTTGCATAAAATTCAAGTGTGTGTGTTTCACCGTGTGAGTGATTTTCTCGGAGGCAGGACTAATTGTTCCGACCCCCTAGCCCCAGAATCCCTAATCCCCAAAAGGTCGGCAACGTACTTGTAACTCCTCCGTCGTTGCGAGTGTCCGTGGGCGGCGCTGATTGCTTATCATCAGGTATTCCAACCGCTCGTTTGTCGTCGTATCGAATCAAAAAGTTTTTATTTAAAACAGAGATCCTTAGATTTTCAAACAAATTCAGTTCATAATCTTGCCCGTAATTGCAATAAAACTAATTATCCAAATACAGACTTATCTGAAAGGTTTCTTGAATCTCCGTTTAAGAGCTATTTTTAAAAAACTACAAACTAACCAACAATTTTTCGGATTGATTGTAGATAGTTTTGTAGTAATAGTCGTTGCTCTTTGATAGACCAAGAGAGAATCTACTAAGGCAAACCCGTCCAACGACTAGGTATGCTTTCTTTGGTTTTTTTTCTCTAAGTTCACGTGTATGAAATATTATTGAACATTTAGATATGGTTAGTATTTTATTTATGTTGGTTTAGGTTGAGGCATCGAAATCATCTATTAATCGAATCATTGACTAAATTCTAGTTTTACACTGTTCCCACATAATAGAATCGACTAAATGATGTAATAAATGAAATGATGAAACTTATTAAAAAAAGCTTGCACGTTCTTCTCCATGGGAATCTACACATTGGAACAAGCAAATAGCTGCACTAGAGGACAGACTGACAGCCTGACACACATTAAAGTTGAATATTTTGATATTTACTTCTTTTTGTGTATGACGTCAACACTGTAATAATTGTAATGTTCGAGTAAATGCAATAAAAGTTAAAATAAATGATTTGTATTTGATTTTGAATTAAGTATATAATGCATGTGGGCCAGGGTCACAAACATGTTTGGCAAATTTAATCAGCAACAACTAAATTAATGTGCTATTTCTTAAAAGGAACGCCTCTTTACTAACCGCACAGAGAGTCAATGAAATGGCTACTTAAATGAAATAATGTATTAACTGGTTTACAAAAAAAGTAATATTGATATTTATTTAAATTATAGATTTTGAGGTTATGTTTTGCTAGGTAACGAAGAGGTCCGAGTTCTTGGCTATTATTTTGATTTCAGAACAAAATCATTACTAAGAAATCGATAAAGTAATCATAAAAATCATCGAGTATGACAGTTAGTATCTAAATATTAATACGTAGGCACCTATTGTTTTATTAATAGATACATTGAGGATCTAATATGATCATGTTTCACGCATAGGTATGCTTGTGTGGTTGGCAGTAATTATTATTAGACACTTAAAGTCAGAAGTGATTTGCGAATTACATAGTTCCTCCTTGAAAATAATTATAAAGGACATTATTTAAAAATAAATTTTATGATAATTCATAAGATATAAATAAATCAATTGACTTTGTGTTTTTCTTAGCTATTTACGTTTAAGACCGTAGTATTACTTGTAAATAGTGTTTATTATTGTATTTTATAAAAAGAGTTTTAAGTTTAAATGTGGAACAGTCTGGGTTCATATGGTTTTTATGTACGATAAGGGTACATCTTTACTAATATGATAAAGAGGTAAAATTTGTAAGTTTTAATGTAGGGGGTAATCTTTGGAACAGCTGGTCGAATTTCCAAAATTCTTTTACTGATTGATAGCTACAATTTTCCTGACTGCTGTATGCTATAAATTATACTTGATTTGCATATTTTAGTTGAGCCATCATTTTGAACATTGCTGTTTTCAAAATTCCGGGATATATTATTTTAAAAGGAGTGCGAAGCCGATTCTCATATGATATGATGACGATCTTGAGAAAAATCCACGTTTATGATACCTACTTATCTTTATTTATATGTTACGAGTAATAATTTTTATGCATCTAAGTAATAACATCGATTAGTTTGTATGTATTTAATATTTATTACTTTATCTCGGTCGATTACTAGAACGTGATCAAGTTAACTATGCGCATACAATTTGTTCATTATAATTTATTACATGTTACATGACATTTCCAGGATGCTTCAAGTCAAATAATTTATCGTTATCGTTTTAAAAAACAAATGTAACGCGTGGGAGAGCCATACTTCGGCACGAATGTGCCGGTTGGGCCGTATTGATACGGCTACACAGAAAACCAGCATGGAATAACCCTTGCGTTATGTTTTGCCGTGTGTTTGAGGTTACCGGTTACCAGAAGCCCAATCCGCCTCCCCATCTACAATCTTAAAATTCCTAACCTTAAAAGTGCCGACAACGCATTTGCGGCTCTGATAGGTATATTGGGATGTCCTTGGTTGGCGCAGCACCATTTGTTTATCATGAGAAGGACACCCGTCTGCTACATCACAGCCCTATTCCATAAAATGAAAACAATCTACAATTGGATTGTAATTATTCCGATGTTCGGCAAAAACCTCTCCTCACACGGAGAAGACATGTACAAGTTCATTCACAAATTACTCAATTCATATTTCAAAATATACATACATATAATATGACGTGTTTATTACGGGCAACAAATAGGGCTGGCCATCCGGCTGCTGTGCTGTGTGTGTGTCGATGGTTTGGTTTCCGCTCAGAACCACTCTGTGATCCACAAAGTGTATTCATGAAGGAATTAAAAAACAAAACACAAATATATACTTCATAAAGCCATTTTTATTTCACAACTATAAATAATCTTTTTTAAATAAATCTATACTCTATTACGCAAACATACTTATCTACTCTAAAACTGACTACTGATATTAATATCACTCGTTCTAAATTTATCGTCCCCATCCGTAGCCCTTTCCATATTCCTTGCCATCATGTTTATTATCTCCTTTACCTTTTCCATCATCCTTGCCATTCCCGTCGTCCTTTTCCTTGCCACCACCACCATTTCCTTTTCCACCCCCACCATTTCCTTTGTCCCCTTTGCCACTATCTTCTTGGCTTTCACTGCTGCTACTGCTATCAGAACTGCCACTGTCACCGCCATTCTTGCCACCACCTTTGCCACTTTTGCCGTCATCTCCACCCTTACCAGCTTTACCACTATCCCCGCCTTTACCTCCTACAAAATAGTAGAAAATAGTGTAGTAATTTTTGCAGTAACATTAACACCCTAGCAAGTTTAACCAAAATACATTTGGTACTATCAAAACAGTAAGCATCACATCAGAACGTATACATTTATTAATGTCAATAGTGTGGATCATATAGAGCAATAGTTCACCATCAGCCGGAAGACCCGTGGACAAAGGCCTCCTCCTTAGTTCTCCACGCCACGCAACAATTAGGAAGTAAACATTGAAAAAAGTCATGAAATAAAAATAATTTGGCGGAATAACTTCATTATAATGTCTAATGCCTTAGACACGTAAATGTTTGACGAGGAACTTGACTAGTTTCAAGACACGGTAGGGCTCATATTCATTGAAGACTACGTGAACGAGAATGAACCGTCAAACCTGATAATTAATTTTATATGTCCCACGAAGGTTATATTACGAAAATGCCATGACTTAATTCATAGAACGGAAGAATTCTTACCACCACTGCCAGGCGCTGCGAACACACCTACTGCCAACACCACAAGTGCTAGAGCGATTATCGTCAACTTCTTCATGTTGTAGTAAATTTTCTACTTCCTTGTTTCTGATATTTCGTTGGTCTTGCTATCAATGGCTTTCTTGTTTGTCGACTACGATCACACTGAATCCAGTTGCTCCTTAAATACTCATTCACTTTCTGATTTTCCACATTTTTTTGGCTCAGTTTTTCCAATTGACCTATTAAATCTGTTTCAGTTCTTATTAGACAATCTCTTTAGCATCTAAGTTTTTTCTTTGATTCTCAATGTAGGTAATTGATTTGAATGAATGTTTTCGTTTCACTTATTCGAAGGTTTTTATCAATTATCAATTTTAGTACGTTGTCTTCAGTTCTCTTTTGTGTTAGTTGTTAGTGGTGGTTTTATTTATATTTTAGACTTCTTTGATTAGTTCGGTAATGATCCAGCTGAAGCTATACATTGTGTTTATACTTAACAGAACTAGTTATTGACTTCCTAGTTTTGAATATTAATTTAATGATGTTTATAACCAGTTTGCATATTGTTTTGTCTATTCGTTACCTGTTTCAAAGCTTAACACAAAAGGATTTCAAGGTTCTCCAAATCAATACTCGTCTTGGATGAGTCATTTGATAATAATCGGTTTATTATTATATTTTGTTTATATTTTTGTTACTATGTTAAGGATTTGATCTTATTGATGAATTTTAGATTGGTTCTTCTTATCATAATAGTTTTTGTTTTGACTAAGGAAGTCAGTAGGTCACAAAACCCTTATCTGTAAATAACAACCTGATCAATTAATTGAATTTTAATTTATTAACCTCAAACTTGTTAAATTTATAAGCAACCCAATTGGGTTTTACGTGAATTTCACCGGTATCCTCGTGCCGTGTAAATCGGAGACACGTGGTGGCTTTTTGTTATAGTGTAACAGACTTATCTTATTCCCACGAAAATAGATTTAAATTTCCCTTGATCACGACATCACGACGGAATGGCTAGACCAATGGCGTTATTATGGTTTGTCTTAAATGTCGGAATTAACATCAAAAGTGTATCAAAATGAATTGTAAAATATGATAGTAAGCGCATAACTCAACAACGCCTTGACCAATTTTGGCAATTCTTTTTGTTTTATTTATTATTGCCAGGAGAAGGTTCTTATCAAAGAAAATATTAAAATCAAATCAAAAGTAGAAAAAAAAATTGGAAAAGTTTGTTAGCGAGATAGAACTAACAACGAAAGGGAGCCCGAGCGAAGCAGGGGCGGTGTTTAATATAATGGAAAAGTGTTCCAAAGAAATTGAGGTTTTACAGCGGTAGAGCCGCTACTATATTATAGAATGTGCCGGTTCGGTCGGGGCGTAGGTACTAATATATCCCTCCCTTTACGGAATATGAAGCGATTATTTGGCGAAGTGTTTATTTATTCACATAAACAGTTTATTTATTGACGATACACTGTTGAGTTTTGTCTAGTAAATAAGATTTTCCGATGTCCAAACCATGGCACAATTAAATAGTTCCCTGTGCGTTTACCTACGTTTCAACAACCACAGCGTTGTGTTTCGCCGTGTGAGTGTGTGTGAGTGAGGTTACTGGACTCAATCCTCCACTTTCTCCCAACTCCAAAATCCCCACAACGCCTTATTCCCAAAACGAACTGCACTTGCAACTCCGCTGGTGTTGCGGTTGTCCGTGGACAGCGCAGATTGCTTACCATCAGGTAACAGAGACACTGGTATGCCGCCCTATGTCCAAAAAAAATCGGGGTTGCAAAGTACCTCAGCTTTTCCGATGCATTTAGATCATAGCGTTCGCCAGAACGCAGACAGTAAGCTTTGTTGCTACTGTTAATAGCGTTAAAAAATGTTAAATAATTTATCAAGCTCATTACAAGCGAGCTACTGAAATGAATTTGATAATTTATGGGTGCAAGTAAGGATATTAAAAAACAGTTGTTTTATAAAAAACAATAATATTTATTTGGATTGCATTTATACATATTTACGTATGGCGAAAAGTAAACTATTTATTTATCACATTGAGCTTTTGAATTTTTGTTGTTCTTAACGATAACGATATTTATGCAACGGTTCAGCGTCTGAAACAAACAAAACAAAATAAAGTTAGTAATCTGTAAGCTAATGATTCTGTTTCGGTTTTTTGCTTGCATAATGCAAATATTAGTGTTGAATTAAAAAAATATATTATGAAATGTTAATAATGTAAATCTTATACCATTTCATGGAACCTTCTAGGTGTAAACGGTAACAAACATTGCTGTTAAAGTGTTAATTTATTTAAATGTTGTAGAATTGATTGTAATCTTACCCGTATCCTCCTTTGTGGCCACCGCTAGCGGTAGCGTGAGCATTAGCGGTAGCAACGGCACCGGCACCACCGTAGCCTCCTCCGCTATGGCCACCGTGTCCATGTCCACTGTGTCCGCCACCATGACCGCCGTGACCACCTCCATGACCACCGCCATTACCGCCGCCGATTCCACCGCCGAAGCCACCGCCGTTACCGCCGCCGATTCCGCCGCTGAGTCCGCCACTGCCGCCATGTCCACTATGACCGCCGTGTCCACTACCACCTCCAAGGCCGCCACCGCCTCCCTGGCCGCCGCCGTAGCCGCCACCACCTCCGAGAGCACCGCCTCCTCCATAGCCTCCACCGAGACCGCCGCTTCCTCCATGGCCGCCACTAAGACCACCGCTTCCTCCGTGTCCACCACCAAGACCACCGCCTCCTCCGTGGCCACCACCAAGACCACTGCCTCCTCCGTGGCCACCGCCGGCGCCGAAGCCACCACCGCTACCGCCGCCGAAGCCTCCGCCGCCGCCGCCGCCGTAGCCACCTCCTATGCTACCACCACCTTGGCTACCGCCGCCATATCCACCTGAAATATAGAACGACATAGGTTAAAGCATAAAGAGTTTACAAAAAGTATAAAATAACAAGATATTGCCTAATTAACGAATGAATTAAATCTGTTTAATATTTAGCATCAATCTAGTTTTTAGACGAAGCAGTTTCCAATTGACGTCACAATATTGCGGGGAATCCTGAATTCCTGTTATCCTACAAGTTTTTTCTTGTTGACTTGGTATGATCATCAAAACAAAACTATAATAACAACAATTAAATATATGTACCTGGCGCGGCGTGAGTAATAGCGAATAGCCCGAAGGCTAGAGTGAGGACTGCTAGACGGGCCATGTTGCTCTGTGCCTCCTGGTCCCTCGACCTAGCTTATATACAGCCTCGCTTATGTCATGAACATGAACGAGCAGTGTTTATTAGACTCTTCATTTTTTGCTCGAGCGCTTTTTTGTAATAATTATTAAGGTTCCGCTGAATTGAAATATCCTGATTTTATTGCATCGATATATAGTTATGGAAGCTAATAAAAATGATTGCTGCGAAATGGTTGATGGGTTTTAATCTGTAACGTGGTGTAGTTTGGAGTTTTTTTCTTTTTAAAGTGATGTCATGGTGTTCTATAATGTCTGTAACTACTTTAATTTTGATGGAGATCCTGTCATATTTATGCTATGGGTTCTTAACAAAACTTGTTTTCTATAATACCTTCCGATGTTTGTTGTGAATTTTGTTGGTCTGTTGCCGTTGACAATAAATTTCCGTCATCCATCTTGTTGTTGAGTGCTATTTTAATTACATATTTTAGATTTTGATTTTGATATTTATATTTGTAACAATAGTCCAAACAATAAGGTTGGTGTAATCTGGGTTTTGTTTATCTGTCAAAGGATTTTGTATTTTTTCCCCAAAAAAAGTTTCATTTAATGAGCTTGAATATTGAATCCGTTTAGTTTTTTTATCATTTATATCAAAGAATAGTAGAAGTACAATGAATTCAGTTACTAATTAAAAAACAGAACACGCCTTCTATAATATTATCCATTACAATGATTTTAAACAATGAAATCTATTAGGTATTTTTATATCACTACATAGTAAAGAACGCTAGTCGCTTTCTCTGCCACTATATCCCAATGTACGCTGAAATCTTTAAAACTACGCAACAGATTTTGATGCGTTTTTTAATACATAGATAGAGTGATTGAAGAGCAAGGTTTATATGTATAATAAAAACCATTAAATGGTGGAAAAAATGTACCAGCATTGCACCCGTGTTTATTTTGTAAAAACGTCGTTGAAAAGAAAAAAAAACAGAAGTACTAAAAAGTTAAAAAATAGGATTTAAAACAACAACGCGGAACCCTTATCGCGGTATTAATAATACGTTTATATTAAATTTATTCGTTAGCGCGTTGAGATAGTTTTTGTATAGCGATCAGCCGATCAATACATATATAGTTTGTATACACATATGAATAGATATATGTAGGTATATATAATAAATAGTCAATATCGCGCTCGCGTCAGCACTAGCCACTTTAGGTCGTATACACAGTGGCGGCTATTGCTAGTATTAAGCTATAAAAAGTTAGTTACTATAGGATCAAGATTGTGGGTATAAACGCAAGAATATACTGGGGCCTGGAGCAGAAGTCAGTAAGAGTCTGACACTCACTCTCGCCCTATACCTACAGGTCGAGAAAAGTCATTTGATGATCCCCTCTCTAACCATATACTATAGGATCATACTTCATTGATTGTATAATGTCATCAAAAACAGACAGTTCCCATAATATATACCTAACATATCTACAAAAAAAGGGGTTGACATCAATGATGTATAAAACTATTGATACGTTGTCCGCGCTTTAAAATGACAACATGAAATGAAGGCAATTGACAACATCGCGCTTAGTAACGCACCAACCTGCCGCGCGACGCTACGTTTGTTTTTAATTTATATTGTGTGTGTAAACCTGTGCGAAACATAAAGAAAGCATGTCGTCGTGTGTGTTCAGACGATGTGCAAATTATACTCCAAAAGTTAAAGACAAAAATGTGTCATTTCATGCGTAAGTTCACCAAACAAGCTATTTTTATTTTATTTTTTTGACGCCGCCCGGCGCCCGCCATCTTATGGCGGCCGGCGCATGAAGGTATAGTCACGTGCCGTCGGCATAACTGAAGATGTATATTTATCACCCTCTAGCAAAGGCATTCCACTATACGATGTCATATTTTCTTTCCCTTTCTTTACTCGTAGAAGTAGTTATCTAGTATTTTCGCCGTTTTTAAGCGCCGCGATGTTGGTTCATGACGTGTCTATATATAATACGTCATTGGTTGACATCAATTTCCAAGCTTAGTAAAATTGGATAGGAGAACTTGGAGATCGGTGTTTAAAAGGATTCAGTTTATTTTTTTATTGATTTATTCTTTACTAGCTTCGGCCACCGGCTTCAACCGCTTGCTGTTTTGATAAAAAGCAGACTATAGCAATAGAACAAAATCGAAGTAGGTATACATAAAATTTGTTATTTATCGTCCTATTTTTATGGATACATCTCCAATGGGTAAATACCCTATAACTTACTAAGTCTCCGCGTCTCCGCTATCCGGCCGTCTACAAATACAATGGTACGGATCTAAATAATAGGTAAGTATTACAAATATTTCAATAAGCCTATTATATTATATTTTATTTTATACCACGTCGCGTCGAGCGCGGCAACCGTTATACAAAAATAATCCTTATAGCATGAATTAGGGTTCACATGCGACGGCGCGATGGCTTATTACCTGAACTGCTAAGCTATCAGGAATTACACGTGCTATTGTGAGTTAGAATATTTCCGTCATACATAATTTCAATGAAGCCTTAACCCTTAAGCCTAAACACGCGACGGAAACTTGAAAAAGGGAGTAACTTCAACCGTTTTCCCAACATTTCCCTTCACTGCTCTGCTCCTATTATTTTTAGCGCGATGAAAAGTATCCTATAGCCTGCCTAGGAGTATAAAGAATAATTGTACCAAGTTTTCTTAAAATCCGTCGAGTAGTTTTTGTTTCTGTAAGGAACATACAGACAGACAGACAGACAAAAATTTTACTAATTGCATTTTTGGCATCAGTATCGATAACTTGACACCCCCTGGTAGATATTTTGAAAACTAATGTATAGAATTGACAGATTTATTCTAAGTAAAGATAAACAAATGCATATTCCGATATGATAACAAATGCATACTGGAGGACCATTTTCTATCAGTCATCCTAAAGGATGACTACCTAAAGGTAATGCAGAGACGTGCGGGGGAAGCGGAGGTTTAAAAAAATAAAAAAATATATATAATAAGTTACTATATTTATCGAAGAATGCTGCTGCTTGGCTCAGTGGATTGGAGATCGAAGTTTAAAAGGTTAAATCTTCAAATCTCTATTAGCTATGTAGTCCCTTTTTAAAAAAATAATCATATCACTTTTCTCGCTCAGGGAGGGGCGAGAAGCAACGGATTTTGAGGTGTTTTTTTATGGAGTGATCGCGGAGGAATACTTGTACTTGATGTATAATAACATCCGTTAAATTGTGGAGAAATTTAGTATCAGTAGTACAACCGTGCTAAGCCGGGGCGGGTCGCTAGTTTATTATTTATAATCGTACATACATATTTGCAAAAATATTTTGGTTAGAAAATAACTTAGATCGGACATCAAACAAATTTGGACACTCTAATTGCCATTTTAGAGAAAAAAATATTTTTTATTTAAAATAAAAACTCACGTAAATCGCTATTTGCAACAAATTTAGCATTTCTCACGATAGTTACTGGATATTCAATAAAAAAAACCGGTGTAGCACAAGAAGTTATAGCATGCACAGGACAACACGCCTAATATAAAATCTCCTTGTACTTACCTATACCTGGAAATCTTTTTTATTCTTAAGCGAGTGAACTGATAAGGAAATATTTTGTTATTGTTATTCTACGAATCGGTTTATCGACCGCGAGATCTGTTTTGATTATTTTGGTTAGGTTCTTTCCCTGCAATGGCGCGTTCACTAAAACACTAGTACTTGGTCTAGTAGCGCAGGGACTGTGATGCCGGGTGCTTGTGTTGCGACGGTAAGTTCTCAGTGCTCGATTCAGATATACAGCTTCTAATACTAACATCATACATTACAACTATAGTTTTTTAATCTTTCTATCGTAGTAATTCGAGACACAGTAGAAGAAAAATAGGTGCGCGAAAGCCAGCGTTCGCTTGGGGTTTGATAAATTTAATTTATAAGATAATATTTTTTTTGCATTCGACGTTTCTAAAATTTTACAAACGTATGATATTTAAAAAAATTAGCTAAAAGGATACGTCACAGATAGAAGTGAAATATCAAACAAAAATAAAATATATGGATCGTTCTAACGTAACATAATAATTTAAATTGAAACTAGAAACAGAGCTAGCTGAAGATATCATGCACCTAAAGCAAACTAAAGAGCCAGCTTACCTAAGTTTTTTTTCTTTAGAAAATAACTAGCTTTTGCCCGCGAGTCCGTTCGCGTGAAATAGTGAATTCTTGCAGGTTTTTGGGATAAGAATTTAATTTATATACCAAATTTCACAGAAATCATTTCAGTAGTCTAGGCGTTAAGAAAAGACAGACAGACAGACCGAGTTACTTTCGCATTTATAATATTATCCAAACTAATATTTTTTGGATTACTTACTTAAAATCCGATGATGTTGAATAATGTTATGTAGGGACTATTGCTGTGTATGATGTTAGTAATATGGTGAGTGAGAAAGAAAGAAAGAAAGAAAGAAAGAAAGAAAGAAAGAAAGAAAGAAAGAAAGAAAGAAAGAAAGAAAGAAAGAAAACACATTTATTCGACAAAGACGAGACAAGAAGAGTGAAAATGTGTTTTAATCTGTCACCAGAGTAAAGTGTCAGTGAGTTTGGGGATAGGGAAGGACCTGGCCTCCGGTACCCTCACTCACACGGCGAAACACAATGCTCTGGTTGTTTCATGCCAGTTTTCTGTGAGACCGTGATATCGCTCAGGTTGAGTTAAACATTCCCATTCGAGCCGAAGCATGGCTCTCCCACGATAATATGTAATATGATAATCATCTACCGTAGTCCAATCCTCAAGTCCCAAACTTCCAAAAGGTCGTGCTACTCCTTTGGTATTGGAAACCTGTCCATGGTTGGCGTTGGCTTAACATCTGGTCATCTATCTGCTGCTCAGATCCATAAAACACGATGTTATTCCAACATCTTACTGTGTTTTAGTGAACATCATTGACATGGTATACCTTCATGTTTAAAAACAATAAAAGTCGAGATGTGAACTGCCGGGGTTGCGGGTGTAAGCTCTATAATGTTCGCGTCCTTGACTTTTAACCGGAGATGGAATGGGGAGGACTTTAATTAGAAGGAAGAGTTTGACACTCTGACTCGACCAGCCCTGGGCGGCGATGAGAGCATAGAAGTCATAATGATGAGATTTCTCAAAAAATGGTATGTATGTTCGACTGTACGGTTGGCGCGGTGGCTGGGCAACTGGTTGCCATGCAACGTGTCGCGGTTTCGATTCTAGCACGGAACAACACTTTTTGTGATCAACAAGTTGTGGGGCAACCACACTAGGATTTCCTCCTGTGTTTTTCTCGTTTTTAAAAAAGACAATGTATGTATTACTGTTACTACCTAACTTCGATACTGACAAGGATAAGATTAATTGAAAATATTAGACACTTGTAAGTATATTCTTTCTGTACAAAATATTTCCGAAGAAACATTGTTTTTAAGTATCATGTGCTGTCAAGCAATCATTTATGAAAAGTTGAGTTGAGTTTCTTTATTCTTGTATAAGAATAAAGAAACTCAACTGAATAAGCATTTGTGTGCCGTTTTTTGAAAATCGAATTTTGTTTATGTAACCAATCTTCAACTTTTTACTAATAATATCATTGTCCAAACATCGTAACTTTCGCATTTATAATATTATAAAAAGATACTTAACAAGAAAAGATTGTGTCACTACTCCAGGCATACAGACCCTGCCTCAAAGAGCCAATAGGCCACGGGACTCAACAATGCCGATGTTCAGCCAGAGTTTCAGGTCTGGCGCATTAATGTACCATGGATTTGGACTGGATCAGGAGAAGGAATGCGGTAGGTTTTAGTCAGTAAGAGTCTGAAATACCCTCTCGCACACCTAGGACGAGAGAAACCATATATTATGATGATGAGTAATGGTTATGTACCTATGTATTACTATTACTAACTAGCTTTTCGTACCATTTTACTGGTTCCATTGTAACTTTAAAATAATTTTGATTTGAAAAGCGATGAGGATCTAAACAGTGGTTGTTCGCGCCGAAAAATCAGCACTTTATTCTTTAATATTTTATATAAACATTTTTCAGGATACCCTCACATTCGTCTTTTCTTTGTCCCCGCTTAATTTTACGCTGTACGACTGCTAACTACTAGTACTGGACGACAGGACGACCCACGGCTGCGTCCGGTACCGCGTGTGCCCGCTCTTTTACACACTTTAGAGTTGCCACGTTACCGCTTTCTGGCAGCAGTGCATCTGCTCTAGCACGGCTCCAGTCCACTAAGTCGAAGGACCGCAAGAATCATCCCCCTCGTACGAGGAATCGCGCCAGGGCAGCTCCGTATTGGAGGTAAGTGGTTGTGCAGCGACTTCCTTTGTCTAGGGGACAGAATTCTTTACCGCATTTTTTTTAAACCTATGGAAATACTTCCCTTGAGTGACCATTTCTCTCTAGCGTCAACAGTGGTAGTTGCTTCGATCAGTAGTACTGTTATTGATCGAAGGGTAGTTGTGTAGGAATATTATTCCACGTAAGAATTTCCATGTAAATATTATTTTAAAAACTCCGTTGACTTTTGATTGTTAATAAAAATGTTTAAGCATTATTTTTTGTTACTATTATAAGCAAGTTTACTGAAGTAATGTATAAATAATTATATTGTAATACAAATAGAGGTCACAATTGCATGAGGTCATTACTCGTATGCATTGAAGTCATAGTTACGAGTATAATTATATTTTATTATCAAAATGCATCTGTGCGAAGTTTTGAAACTAAGTAAATTTGTAGGGAAATAACATTAATATTCAAACTTGGAGGGTAAGGCGCCCTTCAAGCATGAGGAGGGTTAGGAACCAGACAATTATAACCAAGATTTCTTTTAATCAGGCTCGATTTACAGTACATGTATACAATATGAGTAAACCCGGATTTATTATTTCAATTTATAAGAATGATGTATAATGATTACTGTTCATACCTTCTCCATGTCAGAAGCAGTCTTGGTCAGCAGTGGGCAATGATATATGAATTTAAATAAACATTATTTACTGACGAGTTTTGCTTGAATGGGTTTAAATGTAAACTTACGCTTGACATAATGTAATCTGCACTAATATTATAAAAAAGTGAAATTTGTAACTTTGTATGTAGGGGTAATCTTTGGAACCGACGGTCGGACTTCCAAAATTCTTTCACTGATAGATAGCTACAATGTTACTAAGTGCTATAGGGCTAAAACATCACCCTACGACCAATAGGAGCCGAGCAGCGGGTGAAACTGCGCGGCAGTATGGTAGACATTGTTGCAAGCTGACATTGCAAGGTTACGAGGGCGGATCCAGCTGACGCTTCACATCAGTATCATCCACGAGAAATACTGTTCGTCGTGAAATTAAGTTTATTTACAACCGTGTTATTAACTTCCTTGTACTGTGTGTGGCGATGTGATTACCCGTATGCATATAAACAGTTCAACGTTTTTTTTTTGAAGTAGGTATTACCATCCATGGCTTTTAGGCCCGATCTGCGGTTGTCTGATGGCGCGAGAGGAACGCGTACGGGGTATAATGATCCCAGACGCCTGTATCGCCTCCTGCGGCGGCTGGGGCGTGAGGAAGATCGTTTCATAACGAGCTTTGCTTCATCCTTATCTAGGAAGACTACTTCGCAGAAAGAGGAGACGGTTTCTCATTTCCTCTTGCTCTGCACCATGGCCTGGACAGCCCCAGCAGCATCTTAAGTCGTGCGTTGCTTACATAGCATCAGCAGACCAGGGCAAAAACAAACAATAATATGAACATTATGGCCAATTAATGATGGATCGCTCGACGCGAAGTATAAATGAGGCCTTATGGATTCATCTGATTTGCTACATCACACTATACCTATATAGACGCAAATAGCGTATTGCTTAACAATTGTTTTAATGTTTTAAAAAATAGTGAATATATATATAATATGGCACCGATGGCACCTCGTTGTTAACAAAATGTACCAACATGACCCTTTATGTATAATTATGGGTTTATAAACACATGGGATTCATTTTCAGATTTACGCAAAGTAATTATTACAGAACACAACTGAAGACCAGAAGTAGATATACTTCTTTACTTAAGCTTATTCCATTAGCTATTTACCTATTTTTCGAACATTTTTCTACTTGACTAAGTATAACTAACTAGTTGATTGATAGATAATGCTATAAAATATTAAAATTGTGTTAAATCAAAGTCAAAGCCTAAATATTTATTTTAAATAGACCGCTACAGGAACCCTATGGAGAAGAACGAGCAAGAAATTCGACGTTTACTGTTTCTCAATCAGTTTCACAATTAATTTCTTTGTAACGTCATTTAGTCGGTTTTATTATGTAAGAATAAGTTTAGTTCAATAGGTTTTTACTTACTTCAGCAGTATAAATACTAAAATTAGAACAATATAAGTAGGGAAGATTGGCCCCTGCTCAAAGATGACACGCAAAATCGTGAAGCTAAATAATAATTTGTCAACATTTAATCCAAAATCATTTAACTTCATTTCATGAATAGAGTTTATATGTTAACTTTATTTTACAAAGTAAACAATTTTACGAAGTCTAACATTGTTCAAGTAAAATGTAAAATTAAGGGAAGTTGCGAGGCAAGGCCCTACACAAGTATACCTACAATAACTTACTGGGATTGTCTGGAGTTACAATAAGACATCTTTTAGTTAGGTCACTCTATATTTCCATTAACATCGACCACCAACTTCAGTCGCTTTCACGGGATAAATAATACACGAAATATACCAGTACGTTCAAATATATTTATAGTTTTTCTTTGTGCAATAAACGTATAGGAAGGATTGGGCCTCCGGTAACCTCACTCACACGGCGAAACACAATGTTATGCGTCCAGTATGATCCGCCCAAGAATAGCTATTTACATCCATGTGTGAACTCCATTTGTCATGGTACGCGTCCTTAATTATGAGGATGCCAGTCCGAAAGCAGCTATCAAAACGTGGCTACACCTTTTCCAAGTTATACGTACCTTATAAGTTTTTTTTAGATACGATACGATTTTAAATTTATTTGTAACTAGCTGTGCCCCGCGGTTTCACCCGCGTTTTTGTCGTTTCCGTGGAAATACTGAGATAAAATATTGCCTATATTATAGCCTCCCTCAATAAATGGACTATTGAATATTTAAACAGTTTTCATAATTATCAGATCAGCATTTCCCGAGATTACCGCCTTCATAACAAACAACCAAACTTTTCATGTTTAGGTATAATATTAAGAAAAATATAGATTAAGTTAAATTGTATAAGTCAAGTAAGCAATAGCTGTTTATCTGTTCGAAATTCAGCCAGAGTAAGAATTACGACTACAGGCGGGAGTGTCCGTCCACTTTAAACCGGGTTCAAATATCATTTTAAAGTACTTCTGAGTAAATTATATTTTTTGTTTTGTTTTCTGAATTGGATTAAAATGTAAAGGCAAATCATTTAGAATCATTAGGATCCGAGGTTTAAATACTGTTTGACCAACCAGTCAGAACTATTATTGCAACGATCACGTTATTGCGAACAAATTTAACCTAAAGTCTCCCGTTACATAAATTTCTAAGTAAAATAATGGGACACCAATTTTTAACTTGAGAGAATGTGTTGGGATACCCCTCGGGTATAAAGAATGAAAACATCCCTGTAGATAATGGACTGCATATTATTCTTGATCCATTGGAAGTTTACTTAAAATTAAATCGTTAATTTTGTCAACACTACTGTTTAGACTTTACTTTACTGTACACACTTTAGGATTCTCTCCTGTGTTGTGGGTGCGTTTACAAACATACAATGTCACATACATATGACACCCAGACCCGAAACAACAATTTGTGGATCACACAAAGTGTTGTTCCGTGCGGGAATCGAACCCGCGACACGTTGCACGGCAGCCAGTTGCCCAGCCACCGCACCGACTGTGCACACTTCCATTGATAATCTTTATTTTCTATTTCGACGATATCTTTTGATATTAAACTCTCAATGCTAGTCTTTTTTCTCCTAAATCTTGATCAATAGGTATTTTATTTTCAAAATAAGGTACTTTTCCGTCTCCAACTAAAAGTAACTTCAAAGGAAAATTTGTACTACCTCCTCCCAAATATGCTCTCATGTCCGTAGATAGTTTTAAGGTATGAACAAATTTCCATAATAGAGAACTTTTAAGGCAATTTTTTACAATGTCTACTTTAGTTCCTCTTACTACTACAGGTAAAGTTTGCCGAAAATCCCCAGCAAACATGACAGTAATCCCAACCATGATTTTATCACAGTCTCTAATATCTATAATAGTCCTATCTAGAGCCTCCACATGAGCTCTATGAATCATGGTACATTCATCCCAGATTATTAAAGTGACATCTTACAAAAATTTGCCTAAAAGGCCATTTTTACGAATAGAGCACACGCTCTTTCTGTAACGGAACGGTTAGGTTATGTTAGTTTAAAAGTGTAATGAGCTGTGCGTACGCCAGCTAATATAGTAGCAGCGATTCCAGATGACGCTACTGCCAAAGCTAGTTTTCCCTGAGACCTTACTTTTGCTAATATCATATTAGTAGCTAATGAAAGTTTTGCCGGTTCCGCCTGGAGCATCCAAAAAAATATTTTTCCCTCATTGAAACAACACTGAGCATAACACTATTGTTTGCCATTACCTGGTCATTAACTTGGGTGCATTTACAGTAATATACTCATTTAATTCATTTACATCGTATGGCTTCCGCAACGACATTTCCAAATTAAGATGTATGTTTTTCCTTGGATTTTCTTTTCCTTAGCAGAGTTAGTTTAGAAATGTATTTCTAATACTCTTCAAACATCTTATACTTACAATCATCAACAAATATATTACGAAAAATATTATCACAGGATTTTATGTTGATAAAAAACTCTATGGTCCATAACTCATTAATAAGGTACCAACTCTTAACATCTTACACACATGATAACTTTTAAACGATTGAGAGATTGAGAGGAAATAAAAAAGTATTTTAAAGTACTTATAAATAAATACTCTTGATAGGATAATGCTTAATTCCGATAAAGAATAATATTACGATACATATTTAACGCTTTTTTTCCTTCAGACGATTTAATAATTATTTTGAACACAAAATCGGGTACCATGATAGCTAGATATATGCTCTCGCGGACTTTTTGTAGGTTTTAATAGAATCTACAAACCCGTAGTACATCATTTTGTTCTATGGTCAATAGCTATTGCAGCGCACACAAAAATAGGTTTTCGATTTTACTCCTTGTGTTACAAAATAGCAATTTTATTACAGATCCCCAATTTTGAATTAAATAAAATATACCTTCCTCGATAAATGGACTATATAACACTGAAAGAAAATTCAAATCGGATTTTTTTTTTGTTTTCGGAACCCTAGTTATTAATCCTCAAACGACGAATTCTGTGCTCCAGCTCCAAAGCACACGCGCACACTGTTTTGATAGATATGATTGAATTTGAACTTTGTTTAGTGGTAAGAAAGTGCAAATTTACTTTTTGACGTCAGGAACACACCTTTTCTTCTTTCACTTATTTCTTAGATAACAGTGAGTGCTTGTTATTTAATATGAACCTTATGTATAACAGCAATAAAGCTCAAATTGATTCGACGTTTTAGTTAGAAAACGTTTGTGTGTGAAAAAGAAAAGGACTGTTTTTAGGGTTTTCCCGGCAATTATTCGATTTTTTCTCGCCGTAAGAACCATCCTTGGACTTCAACGAACATCTTAAAAAAAGAATTGGCCAAATTGGTCCAGGCGTTATTGAGTTATGCGCTTACAACACATTTTGCGATCCATTTTTATATATATAAGACTAGCTTTTGCCCGCGACTCCGTTTGCGTGGGATAGTGACTTCCTTCAGATTTTTGGTATAAAAACTATCCTATATCCTTTCTCGAGTTCCAAATTATGTCTGTAATGTTCCAAATTATGTTTGGATGTAATGGCAAACTTATGAACATTTGAGGTTTTGCCCACGTATCTGTAGTAGGCACTTTATTAAGTTTTTATCATGTACCCACTGCTGAGCAAAGGCGTCTCCTTAGATTGACAAGGTTTGACCATTAATCACCACGCTTGCTCAAGGCGGATTAGCGACTTAAAATTTATACCTGATTAGAAATGATAAGTTTAGGTTCCCTCATGATGTTATCACTTACCCTATATCAGGGGTATTTAAGTAAACTTAGAAAGTACATATAACTAATTTAAAAAAAGTAACATTGGTGCTTAATAGGTATTGAAACAGCGCCCTTATGCCTGAGAGACGGATGCCTTAATTTCAAACGGATGACAGTGTTATAAATGTCTACCTAGGTAGGTACCTTAAAACTATATTATTTCAACATTTTTTCTTCGACATGTCAATCCTCCGACAATTTATAAATTATGTACTGCATGATATCTTTAAGCTGTGCCTTACTGGGTCCACATTAAGTCTAACCCCTATAATATACCACCTGTCATTTGATATGAATGGAATGCTAATAAATAATAATTTGAATTTGAAATCAAATTTGATGATTTTTCCTCCTCAAAAAAAAAGCGATGTCAAAGATCTAAGAAAGTTCATATCAAAGGATAATAAGGAAACTTGGACAGTGGTCATGTTCACACAGGCACATGTAAATTCTCTTCCAGGAAAATTATGGTAAATAAAATAATTTTTATTAATTGATGTTATGTCGTTTCCATTTGACAGAACTACAGCAGTGACCTTTTGTTACCTCTTTATAAAACAAAACGAGTTCAGAGACCGAAAGGTAAAATGATTCGTTAATCCGCCGCAACCAGACGTTGCACTCTATTACTCACTTTATTAGTCACTTACCTTAATTGTGTGATTCATTGCCTAAGAATTTCAATATTTTAATGTGATAGGTCGATAAACGAACAGGGTTATTACCTGATGGTATGCAATCAGCGACGACCATGGACACTCCTAGTAAACAAGGAGTTACTACAAGTGCGTTGCAATTTAATCGAAATCTGATTACACGATATGGAAAATCTGAACGGAGGTACATGGCCATCCCTCCCCACCAAAACCAATCGTTTCGAATCAAAATATCCGGTGGATATCTTAATATCCTGATCTGACCAAGGTATGTGTAGTGGTTTACAAGTTCAAGGATGTCTTTCCCAACGATGACTGGTTCAGGTGCCAAATGGACATAAGCCATAATTTTCGTCTTGTTCATGTTATTTTTTTTAATCTATCGAAATGTCTTGTTAGCTACCACTATTACTCTCATGTACTCATAAAATGCATAATATATTATGTATAAAATTCCAAAACATTGTGGGTTTCCACCAGTCTGGCTCGGATGATATGCAACATCGAATAATATGTCAAACTAGAATACTCATCTAAATAAACATGAAAACTGGCTTCATATACCTAAAATAACAATGTTATAAAAAATATAGGATTAATATCCTAATATCCTAATATCCTAATATCCTAATATCCTAATATCCTAATATCCTAGTATCCTAATATCCTAATATCCTAATATCCTAATATCCTAATATCCTAATATCCTAATATCCTAATATCCTAATATCCTAATATCCTAATATCCTAATATCCTAATATCCTAATATCCTAATATCCTAATATCCTAATATCCTAATATCCTAATATCCTAATATCCTAATATCCTAATATCCTAATATCCTAATATCCTAATATCCTAATATCCTAATATCCTAATATCCTAATATCCTAATATCCTAATATCCTAATATCCTAATATCCTAATATCCTAATATCCTAATATCCTAATATCCTAATATCCTAATATCCTAATATCCTAATATCCTAATATCCTAATATCCTAATATCCTAATATCCTAATATCCTTATATCCTTATATCCTTATATCCTAATATCCTAATATCCTAATATCCTAATATCCTAATATCCTAATATCCTAATATCCTAATATCCTAATATCCTAATATCCTAATATCCTAATATCCTAATATCCTAATATCCTAATATCCTAATATCCTAATATCCTAATATCCTAATATCCTAATATCCTAATATCCTAATATCCTAATATCCTAATTATCTAATATCCTAATATCCTAATATCCTAATGTCCTAATATCCTAATATTCTAATATCCTTATATACTAAAATACAAATATTCTCGGTAACGGTGTTGCCATACTCGATGATGTCATGACCCCTAGCATAGTCCGTACAAGCAGGCACTGAGCGACTCTGAGTCTTTCAAGAAGGCCTGAAGTTCACTAGTATACGTCGAATCTAACGGAGGTACATGGCAATCCCTCGCCACCAAAACCAATCGTTTCGAATCAAAATATCCTAATATCCTAATATCCCAATATCCTGATCTGACTAAGGTATGTGTAGTGGTTTACAAGTTCAAGGATGTCGTTCCCAACGATGACCGGTTCAGGTGCAAGATGGACATTTGGCATGGTTTTCGGCTTATCTATGTCCGTTTTTTATAAATCTTGCGAAATGTCTTGTTACCTACCACCATTACTCTCATGTACTCATAAAAAGCATAATATGTATATTATGTATAAATTCCAAAACATTGTGTGTTTCCACCATTCTAGGCTGGATTTTGATGAAATCCAATCCAAAGCGAAATTATTCGTTACATCTACATATGCATTTGTAATTTTCAATGTATATATTTGATCGCTGAAGTTACGAGTCACCAGTCATTGTAACTCGCGCTCACCACTTAGCACAAAGTGCATGCTGTGCTTCCCTATTAAAACACTGGTGATGGTTGCCTTCGACTTGATGGTGTAACCATGTATTGAATCAGTGTAAACAATAAAATTGTTGGTGAGCTAAATATTATTAATATGAAAAATAATATAAAATGTTCGGGTTATTTTGGTGCCATCGGTTTTATATACCTATTTAATGTTTTGCATCTTATTAACAGAACAAACGAGTCCTCAACATGTCTTATATGTTTTTGTACTATTTTTAAATAAATATGTGAACTGGCTAATTTGATCAGCAGAATATGGGAAAATATCAAAAGCTAAAAGCAGGGTGTTTCCTCAACCTATCGTTACGCGTCGATTGCCGAGTGGTCTGTCTAAACGGAACAGTAGGCCTCAAAGAGTCAATAGGCCAACAGAGATGAAGCCCAACATAGCCAACGCTTAGCCCAGGCCGCTGGTCAAGAGCAACGAGATACCACGGTCTCGGCCTGAAGCAGGAGTAGGGACGGGGGTTTTAAGTTAGTACGGGTTTGAAACTCCCTCTACCTTGGGTAAGAGAAGACATTTGATAATTTTCCCTCCACAAAAAACCGATTCAGCTCGGGTTTATCGGGTTATTACTTGTATTTAAGTGTTTATGATCCAAAGGATTTTTTTAAACTCTTAGATTTACTTTAGTTGCACACTCACACACACACAGAGAGAGAATTGAAAATCGTTGACAAATTGGTTCCATATTTATATGAGGTCGCTGCGAATTAAGGCACAGTAACAAGTTGAGAGAATACTAGATTGGAAGTCAGTATGGTGCGGCTCTTTGTTGTGATATCATTTATGTTCCTGCTTGCCTGCGTCCACGGATTACCAGGTATTTATGTCCTAAAATACACCTTCAATTCTGACACGGATTTTGAACTTCTACAGAGATTTTAGAAAAACTTACTATTCTTAACCGACTTCCAAAAAAAAAAATCCGATGTCACTGCTGCGGCCTGCGCCCAAATGGAGCACAATGCCTAGGGTAGTTATGACTTCCATGCCGGCCGTCGTCGTCGCGTCGCTTAGACTCACAGCTTCACATTGCCACATTTTGAAATAACACCTATTATTTCAATTTCGTTTCGAAATAACATCCCAGGAACGGTCAATGCTGTACCTATCTTATTTTTGATCGAATAATTTAGGAAGTGTTTTCACTTTTACACGATGCTATAGTTACACGTGCGATGTATAATAAGAAACACTTGTAGGTCGAAAGAAGGACGTAAAAATTATACAAATAAAATAAGCTATATAAAAATACCGGGTGACAAATACCGAGCATTCAGTATATGTGACTGTTCACAAAATAAAACGTGCATCTCAATGTAATTCAACACTGTTTTTTTTTTAATATAATAGATCGGCAAACGAGCAGACGGATCCCCTGTTGGTAAGCAAGCAATCAGCGCTGCCCATGAACACCCGCAACAGAGGAGTTACGAGTACGTTGCCGACCTTTTGGAGATTAGGGTTTTGAAGAATTAGGGATTGGGAAGGGGAAGATTGGGCCTTCGGTAACCTCACTTACACGGCGAAACACAACGCTGTGGTTGTTTCACACCGGTTTTCTGTGAGGCCTGCGTGCGGCGTGGTATCACTCCGGTCGAGCCGAAGGATGATAATAGTAATAGTATTTCCATAGTTATCATATCCACCAGTCCATAGCAACCCATACCTATCCTACCTTATCAATTTTTACCACATTTCACAATAGTCCTGCATCAACCGGGGATTGTCTTTGGATGCACTTTTATAGTGCATACAGATAATTGCCGGCTGATGTCCCATCACATTTAGATTAAAACTGTTCAACGGGACTCTGCGAGTTGGCTTCGGCTCCTCGTACGCCTTCCAAAGGTCCGGGATCCTGTGGTCCCGTGAGAGGAAAGAACAAACAATAATGATAAGCGCAACCCTAAACTTCAACTCGTTTCTATTTATTATAAAGAATTTGGAGTAGTATAACTTATCTAAATAATATTGCGTAAATGACTGTGTGAATATTTATGTATTTTAGTACTTAGTAGTAGTTACCTATAACATTGCTAATATTGAATCCACAGGCCCATATTTTGGTGAACATATCGAAGGTGGTATTGGTAATGGAGGAGCTGGTGGCAAAGAAGGTGCCGGTGGAGCTGGTGGTACATTTCATTTCAATGGTGAGTATGACTATTAAATACTTGAAATTGTTAAAGAATTTGTCAGTTTTTGTATAGGACTTAGTCCAAGTGTTGCTCAGAATGGAGATGTCGTGTAATATTTTTGATGCAAACTTTTTTCATGATATTAGTCTTTTTCTTAAGGCATTGTGCTTTTGTATTTTGCGCCTCGAGGATTGGTTTAGTACTCTCTTCTGACTCAGCGTTAGTTTAATTATTATATAGGTTTAATTGTTCATTTATACTTGCTCCTCATTCTTGAGTTCTCATATAAGATTATGGCAACCACCTATGTGATTCTGTTTTTTTATTTTTAAGTTGATTTTTTTATTTCATGCTGTGCTGTTGTGTGATGAATAATTTCTCATTGGTATCTTTCCAGGAAACCCTACTGGAACTTCAAACGTAGACAACGGAAGCCACGGTGTAGGCTTGGCTTTCGGAGGCAGCGTTGCTTCAGGAGTTAGTCATACCAACAATAATTTTCCCGCCTACGCCTTAGACAATAATAATTGGAATTATTTCAGTGCACCTCGGCCTGTACGCAGAATGTGGGCCCCAATGTCATATTACCAAATTCCCTCATTATACTACCAGTGACCCCGGAACACTTTCTGTAACTCCAGTAGATCTACTTCAAACATCAAAGGTCCAGTTTCGTTTTATTTTCAAACTTAGATTTTTTCAAAGGACGTTTGTCGATTCTTAATTTTGTTTTTTTTTTGTTTTCTTCATCCTGATTGTTTATAGTCATATAACATGTGATTTCAATCATAAGGTTGGCAACAGCGATATTGTAATTAGATTTTTTTGGGGAAAAAGAAATAAAAAAAAATACTATTGCCTAAATATTCAACACAGATTATCATTAACTATTACTAAACTTTTCAAGCAACTTTCATAATAATATCTATTTCAATGCCTGCCAAGCTATTAAAAAGGTTGGGTTTTTGAAAAATACCATTTCCCAATATAATCATGTCTCCAAATTTCGCAATAAGCTCAAGTGACACTACATTCGTAGGAACACTCTTATTTTCTGTCTTCTTTACAAAATTATCTTTTATATAGGTAGCCTATCCTTCTTACCTTTGTGCACGTTTATCCTTTCTCTGTTCTCTGTCCTTCTAAAGCCCTATCCCGTTCATACCTAAAATCACATCTTCAAATATAATATATGTTGCAAATGAATAAATGAATAAATTAGTAAAAAATAATGTTTGATTTATGGGTGTGTTTCTAAATTATAATACATATTGTTACAGAATTTGAATCTACAGAAGATTCAAATTCTGTAACAATAGATAGTAGATCACAGGTAGCCATAGTTTGCCAAAGGACGAAATACTCTCTTGTATTGCTAAATTATTTAAGAAATCAAATATTTACAAGATTGACAATAACGACAAATTTGGCAAAAATATATTGGACAAAGTATAGGTAAAAGATTTTTTTTATTGAAAATAAAACGATGAGAATAACACACTAGAATGTTCTACTGTGTCTTGGGTGCGTTTACAAACATACAAATTTACATACATACCACACCCAGACCCGAGACAACAATTTGTGGATCAAACAAAGAGTTTTGCGATCACACTTGTTCTGTAAAAACATTTGTTTTATTGAGCACATTAAAAAATTTCTTTTTCTTATGTCGTCAAACGACGAGACGTATTTACCTGAGACGGTAAGCAATTGGCGCCGCCCATAAACACCCGCAACACTAAAGGCGTTATGGGTGCATTGCCGGCCTTTTAGGGATAAGGGTTTCGAATATTTAAGGATGGGTGGAGGAGGGGTGATTGGGCCTTCACTAACTTCATTCGCATGGCGAAACATAATGATGTGAGACCGTGGTATCACTCCGATCGAGCCGACCCAGTCGTGCCGAAACTTGTCTCTCCCACACTCCGTTATGAACCAGAAAGCAAAAAAAAATAACTTTTACGTACCATCGTGAATTTCGAAAGCTACTTGCGTTCTCTCTTTTCCCACGCTCAAGACTGTGTGTGTCACGCCTTACTGGTCTGGGCTGATAGGATGACAACAGGTGCAGAACTACAGAAGTTTCCTCAAAGCCAACGTTTGGCTAAAATTTTCTGTTAACACTCAGGCCCTGCCCGTGCTCACGAGAATACATCCCGTTGATGTTGAGGTGCAGCGAAGTGTTTTTGTATACCACAATGTGGGACCAAACTTTTCTGCAAACTTTCTAGCATAAGGCGATCGAAACAAAATTGCATGACTGTTTAACCCACTAGCGAACATCAGGGATGAAATTGTTACAGAATGGCAGTGTAGATGGGAATCTTCTATCAAGAGGAAGAGATAGAAAATAATACAAACACCTTAAATGTTAATAAACAGACAGGCAGACATATGTACACAATGGATTATCTATACTTTTGATGTCAACAAATAAAAACAATAAACTGTTTACCTGTATCGCCCAAAATATCGCAGAAATGTAAAACCCAAATCCAGCTGCACTTTATTTATAATTTTCCTTATAATTTTTAAAACATGTTTTGGCGTAAAGGTCTGTTCAGTTATAAATAACAGAGTTTTATGTTGAGTTTGTATTAGTGTTGCGTTGTCCACACACAAGATGGTACGCACTGTTGCTTTACTGTTGGAGCTCGCGTTGATTGCATTAAGTTTAGCAGCTCCTTCGCGTTATTATGGCTCATACGATGAGTGTAAGTATTTACTATTTCACAAACAATAGGTTATTCCCTAATGAGATATTTTAAAGGAGAAAAGACGGACTTGGCTAACGAGGCCGAGTTGTATCAGCTGTAAAATAGGACATGTTATAGACAGTGGTTGGGACATCGCGTATTATTAGGAGTATCATATTGTTTCTAAAATGTGTAATGGTTTACTTACTAACTGATTACAATCATTAGATGAGTAAATTATAGGATATTGTTTCGTTACACCTCACTGAGTCTCTACATATCGATGGTTGTAATATCACTTTAGATATGATTGAGGATCGTTGGCATGTAGGTAATGATGAATCTGCTTTCATTTCAGATTATGATGGCTATCCTCAATATGCGGCTGAACCTGTGCCCACAACATTGAGAACTACTGTCGTAGCTGATCATGTGACCACAGAGTCAAAAACCACCACTTTGCCCAGTACTCCAAGAATACATAAAATTGAAGGTGGCATTGGGAATGGGGGAAGTGGTGGCAGTTATAATAGTCCTGGCGGATCTGGCGGTAACTTTTTTCTAAAAAGACCTACGACAAAAAGACCATGAAAGAAATTTCAACCCTTAATTAAAGAGCTTGGTTTGCGACCAAACTGCATTCATTTTTAATTTGTAAAGTAAATACTAAATAACTTTAAACCCATTTGACATGACTGTGAAATAAATGGCAGTTTTTTCCTGTTTTTGGGTATTTTTTTAATACAATTTGTGAATCCTTTTCCTTAAAGAGCTGGAATCATCTAATGCCTTCACGGTTTGGGTGTGCGAAAGGGAATGTCTGACTTTTACTTACTAAAAACTATCCCGTTCATCTTCTTCTGGGTCGGGGCCAGGTTACATTTACGAGCTTGCACCCTTAATCTCAACACGACGCGCTGTACGTGTGGTGCTGGTTCTAGTCGGGTTGCGGGCTTCCCTTACTCACCGTCCGTAGACTAATGGTGACTGGAGAACGTAACGCAATTCTAAACGACACCCAGCATGTCTCCTGCGGCAGTTGGTGCGTGAAGATGATAGTTTTTTGCGGCGCTAAGGATGGTCGGACCTCATCAAGTGATCGGAGCGTCTCCTACTAGCCGGCTAGTGGCCGGCCTGGTCTAGCTAGCCGCCCTGGCCTTTTCCGTCTCCTTCCTCAGGTACTCCTCGTATAGGAACTGTACAGTTTTGGCCTCAACGTCCGGAGGACGGATACAGAGTCTGTGGTGCTAACGCTTTTTACGTTGGGCAGGCAGGACCTGGGGCATCGCCTCGTCCTGAATCATGGATATGGTGTCCAAATTTTCAATAAATGCTGATACTGGGTACTACGAGCTAGACATTTTATATACCTTTGTGGAACAAAACGTATTCAGTGTGGTGCATATGTTATTGCATTTGAATTATACTAGATTTACGATGCGAGACAGTCACAATCGATGTATTACAGTTGATATAAATAAGTTAATGAAATCAATAAAAGTTGTACCTGTATTACTTAAAATTTCGCAGAATTACATTCCTCCCAGCTGCAGGAAAGTTATAATTTAAGTGTCTTTTTTCCTTATTTAAAAAAAAAAACTTGGATACATGTATCCTGGTATATATAATAGATTTTTGTGTGGTGTTTTCATTAGTATTGCGGTGTCTGCTCACAAGATGGTACGCATTGTTGCTCTACTGTTAGTGTTGGTTTCATCAAGTTTGGCAGATGATTATTATCATAAAGGTTAATATATAAAAAATATTTTGACTATTTCGCAATCAATCGATTTTTTCTTAGTCAAATATTTTAAAGCGAAGTATATGGCTTTGAGGTACGAGTCTGCGTAATATCCGATATTAAACATATTATATGTAGTTTCATTGGTGTGTTGAAAATAGGTGGTAAGATAATTTTGTATATTTAGATACAAGTATTAAATATATTTTTATACATGGATTTTTATATATAGAACTGTATCGCCTGCCTCTTTCATATCTGTATTACCTAAAGGTAAAGCGGGAGAAAATGCTTAAACTATTAAGTCTTGTTGTCTAAAAATTGTGTGTGCGTAAAAAAAACTATTAAGTAGTCACAGGAAATTGTCAACGACCTGAAAAATTGGCCCAGAAGATCAAAACCAGCCATGTAAAGTACATGGTATACCTTTACCCGGTTTCAATATCGGAAGTTCAAGTTATACCTCACTGAGTTCATATGTCGATGTTTGCAATATACATTAGATATGACTGAGGTCCTTAAGCCTTTAGGTAATGATAAATCTGCTTCAATTTTAGGTAAAGGCGACAAGGCTGAAGCTGCGCCCATATTATGCACTCCTGTCAAGGTTGGCGCTGAGAACATAGAGTCAATACCGTTTGCTGAACTTTTGGCCACTAATTTCGGCACAGATCAAATTCAAGGTGGTATTGGTAATGGTGGAATGGGTGGAGATTATGACAGCCCTGGAGGATTTGGTGGTAACTGTACTTTTTACAAATAGAAAAAGGAAAAATTACAACAAAAGAAAAATGCTCATGTATGTACACAAGTAGTATATAATACAAGATAAATAATAAAATAAAAGGTACATGATTTCTTATATTAATTGGCAAGGATGTATCCGAATCTCGGCTAGGATGCATAGGTAGAGGTTGTTATATAATGTTTAGTATTGTTTTAAAAAACATAAATAGTAGCATCTTAAACGTAGACATTGCTAATTGTGTTTAGCTCTGACGATGTATACTTGTACTGGAAAGCACAGATTGAGTCAGTATGCAGTAAAATAAATAAATTTTGATTTGCTTTATGACTAATAAAAATGTAACTGTCAACAAACGATTGTGATGTCGTATATCGCATATGTGGAGCCATCAGTACGAAAGTATATTATTAAGGCCTAATAATAAGGCGATAGTACTGACCATAATAGAGCATTTTTGGTTTAGAAGAAATGCCAACACTCATTGAAGAAGCTTAATTTGAGACCAAGCAACATTGATTACATATCGCAGCAACCCATATATAAAGAAAATATTTAATGACTTTAAACGTAGGTATATTGATGTATTGTCCTGTTCCGACATTAATATTCGTATCGTTAAATAAATGCCGCTTATGTGTTTTTTTATGTTTGTTTTATTACAAAAATCGAACCCTTTTACGTAAGAGGTAAAATCATCCAGTGACTTTTCACGGCTTGGGTGTGCGAAAGGGTATGGGCATAGGCCCTCATGACTGGACGCATCGAACGCTCGGTTCTGGTTCTGGCTTAGGGATGAGCTACAGTGGGCGAAGATCATCACGCGATTCAAGACGCACAGCGTGTTTCTGTTCGTGTAGATAATTCCCTCACGCGCTCTGCTACCTTCGACGACCATTACTACTTCATAGAAGGAGCAGACGGCTCCCCAAATCCTCTCACATCGGACACATGTAGGCATTATGGCTCGGACAAAGCCCGGGTGCGAGAGATTCGATCGATTTTCTGAGGACACGGCGGTGCTCAGCCCAAGCAGGGCACACTGCCACCGCTATTGTGTACCTCTGGCTATAATACTGAACCCTAACATTACGTCATTACCTACAAAATGTAAATAGTTGAAGCCGTTTCCGAGATACTATTAATAATACATGATGATAAACTCAAAAATTGCTCGTATATTTATAGAATTCTACATATACTATGTGGCAAAGTCAATATTAAGTAGCAAATCTAAATTTAATATACCTAGTGAAGAGTCTCTTATCATATTCATGTGAACATCATGCGTGTCATTCCGGTCCCTAGGCAAAGTAAGTCAGGATGTCCAGATTTAGAGGCCGGTGGTAGTGCTGTCGACTCCGGCAAAGGTGTTTGACATTTCTATTTAGGTTTGTGTGCAAATACAGGTGCAAGCACGATTGGTAGACGCGCATCACGGATTTCAGCCTATGCGCAGTAGCACTAATCTATTGAAATTCAATGTGCGCGTGGTACAGGGAGATACTGTGTAATAGGATTTTAAGAAGGCATTCGATACGGTCAGCTATGACATATTGCTGAGTAAACTATTCGAGATGGGGTTTACTCTACACTTATTAAACATCTTTATCAGTTAAATGAAAAATAGGCAGCAGTAAGTAGACTATAGGGGTTGCAAATCCGAACTATATTTCGTTAGGTCTGGATAAAGTGAGAGGACGGATGTGTGATGTGCCTGGTCTATCGTTGCGCTGCAGAAAATATCCAGCTCCGGTGACCACCAACACTCTGGCGCTTATTTTTTTTTGTCATAATGTAAAAACAAATTAGTTATCAACCTGCGCTTAAATAGGTTGCAGCGAAAGCTAAATCGTATGTGCGACGCCACGCCCGATAAAAAATAAGCAAAAAATAAATTTTATAATAATTTAAAAATAGAACGACCTGCGATGGGTGTTTATCGACGAGTTTAATTCGGAGTTTGTTTTATTTTTAAGTCAGTTTCCATATTTTATTAGTTTTTTTTTGTATTTTATTGAAGAATATTATTGATGCTGCGGATACAAGTTTTATGCCCGTGTTGTTTTATTACGTGGACAAAGGGGCAAAATAAAAATCACTTTCCTCGCGCTGGGCGGGGCGAGAGTGAGTGGCAGACTCCTTTATTGACTCAAAACCACCCTGTTCTTTTTCCTGCTCCATGCCGAGGCCGTGGTACCTTATTGCGGTTGACTCACAACCCCAACTGGTCATCAGCCGTGGTGGGCCCCATCTGTCTGGTGCTGGCCAGCGGCAGCGAGCTACCCTCACTCAACGTCCGCAGACTAGCGGTAAAGATGTCTGGAGATTGTCTCGCAATCTGCGATGCCCGGAGTTCCTCCTGCAGCGGTGGTTGGTGCGTGAGGAAGACAGAGGGATTGTGCGATTGCCACGGTGGTGTTTTTTTATGTTATAGTTCGGCAAACGAGCGGACGGATTACCTGATGATAAGCAATTAGCGCCCGTGGACAACAGAGGAGTTACAAGTGTGTTGCCGACCTTTTGGGGATTTGGAGGAGCATTATGATTAGGATTTGGAGATTTAGGGATTGGGGGAGGGGAAGGATTGGGCCACCGGTAACCTCACTCACACGGCGAAACACAACAACGTGGTTGTTTCACGCCGGTTTTATGTGAGGCCGTGGTATCAATCCGGTCGAGCCGACCCATTCGTGCCGAGGCATGGCTCTCCCACACTTGTTACCCTTTGGGGCACCGCCGAAAATCTGGTGAAAGGGAGCAGCAATTTCTTGGAGGAGTACGAGGCCGCTTTTTCTTTGGAAACAGTTATAAAATACAGGGAGTTAAGCGGTTTAACCAATTTATTATCTTTTCTTGATTTCTCCTCATCATCTAACTTTCTTACCACCTATTTCCTATTTATGAAATACCTACATTGTAGGAAAATTATTTTGAAATAGGTTTAACAGTTTTGAAAAAAAATCTAATAAAACGTATCCAGTATGGTGCACTATCAACATCAGCCTATAAGTGTCCATTGCTGAGCAAAGGCCTCTTCTCATACGGAGAAGGTTAAAGCATTAATCACCACGCTTGCTCAATGCGGGTTGGCGATTTCAAACTTATAATTAGTTGAAAAACTTGTAATTTAGAAATTATAAGTCCAGGTTTCCTCACGATGTTTACCTTCACCGTGTGTCAGTGGTGTCTAAATAATCATAGAAAGTACTCTCGGAAAAGTCACATTGGTAGGCTTGCCAGGTTTCGAACCCACAGCCTCATACATTAGAAGCGGGCTCCTTAACCTCCGGGCCACCACGACATGGTGCATATTTTAATTTAATTTTGAATTATACTAGGTTTCCGATGCTTAATTTGAGTGAACAGACAGACAGTCGTAATTGATTTATCACAGGTGATAAAAATAAGTTAATGAATGCAATAAAAGTTTTACCTGTATCGCTTAATGTGTCGCAGGATTAGGAACATTCTCCCCAGCTGCAGGAAAATTAAATAATTTTCCTTATTTTTTGTAAAAAAATATTTTGGCCTAAACATGAATTCAGGTATATATAACAGAGTTTTGTGTTGTGTTTTCATTAGTATTGCGGTGTCCGCTCACAAGATGGTACGCACCGCTGCTCTACTGTTTCTTTTTGCGTTCATTGCATCAACTTTGGCAGCAAAATATAGTCATAAAGGTAAATATTTTTACTACTTCAGTCTTCAGTCAGTCAAAAGATTTTTTTTTAATCTATGACTATCATCATAAGATAATTAATTATAAAACTAAGACACGTTGGAGCTAAGGGTTTTAACAAATTTATTTTATTTTCTTGATTATTCCTCTTCAACTGATCATGTTGCCGCCTATTTTCAATACACCAGTGAAATACAGTAAACAGTATTATTTTTTATATACATTATCATATGTATGTATATATACGTGTTTATATTATATATGAATAGGTATCTAAAGGTTCACTGTAAATAAATAAAATAAATGAATACGAGTTGACAGGAACATGTTAGCAACCTGTTAAATTGGCTCATAAAGGTTAAAGGTCGCCATGTGATATGTACATTCGTAAAGCAGACGTGCTTGAAGGAGTTTCAATGTAGAATATTTCTTTTTATGTAAAAGAACGACAAATGAGCACAGGGCCTGATGGTGAGCAATCACTGCCACCCGCAACAACGGAGCATTTGGAGATTTTGGGATGGGGGAGCGGAAGGATTGGGTTTTTGGCAACCTCACTTACATGGCGAAACACAACGCTGTGGTTATTTCACGCCCGTTTTCTGAGGTCGTGGTGACCCATTCGTGGCTCTGTGGCAGCTGGCAAATGGCTTTCCCACACCTAGTATGTTCAAGTTAAACCTCACTCAGTCCCAATATCGATATTGATGGTTTCATTGCGAGGGGCTATCAGTTTAGATAATTATGATTACGTTAAGACTGTAGGTAATTATGAATCTACTTTCATTTCAGATAAAGGCGAGAATGCTAAACCTACGCCTATATTACATACTCCTGTTGAAGCTGACGATGCGAACACAGACATTTTTGATATTTATTCAATTTTGGCCTATGAATTTGGCGCAGATCAAATTGAAGGTGGTATCGGTAATGGGGGAATGGGTGGATCCTATGGCAGTAGCGGAGGGTCGGGTGGTAACTTTACTTTTTAAAAAAGTAGTTTGATAGGTAAACAAAAACGCACATACTCGTATACACAAGTAGTAGTGTATGATACAGGTTTTACAAACTGCTACATTTGTTTTATGAGGTTGTGTAGTGTGGTAAACGAGCGAACGCATTACCTAATGGTAAACAATTAGTGCCGCCCATGGACACCCTCAATAACTTAGGATTTATGGATTAGGGATTCGGAAAGATTGGGCCTCCATTAACCTGACTCACACGGCGAAACACAACGCTGTGTTTCTTTCACGTCAGTTTTCTGTGAGTTGCGGTATCACTCCGGTCGAGTCGACCGATTCGTGCCGAAGTATGGCTCTCCCACACCTGAAGT